GCCAGGGGAGCCGGGCTCTGCACGCGGCCGCAGGGCTGCCCAGCACTGTCCTCATCCATCAAGGCCTGGGACTCGACCCCCAGAGGCGGCCCTGGCTCGGTCCGGCGGGTCTTTACCCCGGCCTGGCCCTGTCTCCGGGGAGCAGCCAGGGCGGGACAGACAGGATGGACAATCAGGACACAGACGCCCTGGACTGGCCGAGCCTCGCGTTCACAAAGACCCTGTGCCGGCCCCGGCAGCCGGACTCGGGCCCAGCGGCGGCTCAGCCTTCACACTGTTTCCCGTTGGTGCTGTGGAGCGGCAGAGCCGGGGCGCTGACCTCTGACCACCACCTTCCCCCCCCCCCCCCCCCGCCCTGTCTCTGTCAATGCCAATGTCAAGCTCTCCTGGTTTCTAAAGGGACAGTCCGGGCCGTGTCCCACATTGGTTAAAGGTCGGCCTGCAGGACCCAGGCCTCACGCGCAGCCGGCTCCCGGGAGCCACGCGGCGGCTTCGCGGGGGGGCCACGCACGGTTCCTTCCAGCAGTTTTGGGCCGCTGTTTTGGTTCGTTGCTGCTGCCACGTACCAAGCATCCCCTCAGGCCTGGTGCTGCCACCCTGCCAGCTGCCAGGGTCACCCTGCCTGCCACCTGGTCACTGCCGTCCCCAGGCAGCCCGGCCGCAGGCCAGCAGAGGACACCGCGTGTGGCACAAGGCCGCAGCCCGCCCTGAGGATGGCCAGCAGAGCAGCGCTGGGTAAGTGTGTGGGCAGAGAAGGAACGCCACGAGGACCACGTGACAAGGCCTGTGCTGCTAAGCGGGGCTTGAACCCAGGTCTTCACCCTGCGCTCCGCCCTGCTGCTCCTTCCAAAGCCAGGCACGAGGTCTGGGCACGGCAGATCTGAGTGAAGGGTGAAGGCCTGGCGGGGCGGGACCCTGCCCATTCCCTCCTTCCATCAGGATGGAGGCAGGGGCCCGGCAGGCACCCGGGAGTCCAGGGCCCGGCACCCAAGAAAGCTGCCAGGGTTGCCGGGCCATGGCCGCTCTCTCCTCAGTGGTCGGGCAGGTTCCTTGGCCGCGCTGCAGTGCAGCTGCCCAATACCAAGCCTGGCCTCGCTCCGGGCAGCGACACGGGACCCAGGCTGCCCGTGGCCGCCCCCACCCATCCTCCCCCGGACAGCATGGGGGCAGCACAGGGGACCTCTGCCAGCTGGCGGCCGCTCCAACCATCAGTGGGTGGGACCACCCGTGCAACGGGGCCAATCACCCATCAGCAGGCAGACCTCACCCAATCACAATCGGCTTGGAGTGCCGGTCCCATCACCAGTCAGCAGTGGGGACCCAGGACATGGCCACCTTCACTGTGGAGGATTTGCCAATCTTGGGTAACAGGAGGGGGCCAGGCTGGGCCCCCGGGGGTCCACCCACGTGGGCCGGCCACTGGGACCCACTGCTCAGGAGAAATGAGGCCCCGCCTTGTGTGTATGTATGGGGGGGGGAGAGGAAGGGGGCCTGGGAGACAAACACCTCCTCCCCACCACGGAGTCTCCACAGACTCTGTGACTTTACCCTGACATTCCGGAAGTGGGGAGACATTACCAGACAGCGCTCTATCCGCTGACATTATCTCTTAATTACAGTCTGGAGGAACACTGCAGAAAATGGCCCCTAATGAGCTCATTGGCAGCAGGGCAGCCATAGCTAGTCTGCGGGCACGGCCCGCTGAGCCCAGCTCCCTCAACTGAGGGAGGACACATGGAGACGGAGCTGTGAGCTGTGCAGCGACAGGGCCACGCGCGTGCGGGAGGCGGGCGGCGGGCTGCGGCCACGTCTGGCCTCCACCTGGCCCCTGGTGTCCCGCCGCCCACACGCCCAGGGGCTCCAACCAGAGGCCCCCGCACCCAGCACTGGCCCCGCCAGCCCCTCAGGATGGCTGTGAATTTGGCACCAAGGACAGACATTGACTCGTTTTCATTTTTCAGGAAATTAATTCTGCAGCAGGCTGGGCGGCAGCCTGGCCGAGGCCCCACCCTGCAGCTCTCCGGGGTCCTGCAGGGTGGAGGAAATGTTCTCCCAAGTTCCAAGGGACTGGGCATCAGGGCAGGGGCCTTGGAACCAAAAACAGAGGCCAGAACAGCCATGAAGAAAGCCGAGCACCAGGCATGGTGCTCACGCCTGTAATCCTAGCTCATTGAGAGGCTGAGGTTCTGAGGATCGCAGTCTGAAGCCAGCCAGGGCGGGAAAACGTCTGTGAGACTCTTCCAATCACTAGCAAAGGGTGGTAAGGGCAACTGTGGCTCAAGTGAAAACACTAAGAGACAGTGCCCAGGCCCTGAGGTGACCTCCCAGGAGCAGCGCGTGCACGCACACGCACACCCACACCCACGCATGCACACCCACTCCCCCCAACACACACCCCAAGAGCTCCCGACCATAGCCATCAGAAGCAGCCAGAGTGACCATGTGGGTTCAAGTCTTCAAAGAGCCTCTGGCTGGGTAGCCCAAGCAACTATTTCACCCTCTCTGAGCCTTTCAGGCTGAGGCTCAGCGTTGTGACTTGTTCTAGGTCACACAGTAACAAAGCACAAACCGGGGATTCAATCCCCCACACTAGGTGGAGTGTCCACGGTTAGCATTTACACATTCCCTCACCCCGACTCTTCTCTTAACTGTGACTGGGAGTCCCTAATTATAGCCCCAGGGAATCCACACCTCTAAATGCCAGCTGCTCTTGTTAAGGAGGGATAAAGGGACGGGCAGTGTTCCCGATGGGCGGGGTCAGGGCCCGTCCACCAGCGCTGGCCGCGCCAGCTGTTCCAGTCACAGGTGAAGAGCCCAGGCCAGACGCCCATGGCGTCCCCCACAAGCAGAAGACATCCCTGCGACCTCCCCCCCACCGGCCTCCCAGGCTCTGCAGCGTCTCTGTGGCCCTGTGGCCGCTGGATGCCGCCATTAACATCCCACACTCCCTGTCCAGAGCGCCGCAGGGCGGGACGGCCACTCTGGGGTTTTCTGGGGGTGGCTGCTGCCTCCACCTGCCAAGTCTCAGGGGGTCTGGCAGGACCGCCTATGGTTAGCCATGCTCCCAGAAAAGCAAAAGGGAAGCTGGGGTCATTGGTGGCCAGGCCTCATGAACGTGGGGGCTGGGCAGTGAGGGGACACTGCTTGAGCTCCAAGAAGCTGGGGGCCTCCATTTCCCCACAGCAGGCCTGTTGCAGGGAGGAAGGTACCCAGCTCTGGCAGCTGCCCGGCCAGGTGCTCGCCGGGGAGCCGGGGACCTCGGCCAGGTCTGGGAGAGTGCGAGGGTCCTGCCTCCCGTCGGAGCCCACAGCTCCTGCGTGCGTGGGGAAGTCCCCTTCAGAGCACAGGCCGGGGACGGGACGCTTCTCACCACAGCACCCACAGCATGCATGTCCTAGGCCCTGGGCCCAGAGGCGGGGCCGCAGCGACCCCTGGTGGCTGGCCCAGCACTCGCAGTTGCCCTATGGGCCACGTCCCAGGCTGACCCTAGGCTTCTTACAAGAGCTCCTGGTTGCCACACACTGGTGGCTCACGCCTGTCACGCTACCTACTCAAGAGGCTGAGATCTGAGCATCGTGGTTCGAAGCCAGCCAGGGCAAGAAGTCCATATGAGACTCTTATCCCCAATAAACCACCAGAAAACCAGAAGTGGAGCTGTGGCTCAAAGTGGTAGAGCACTAGCCTTGAGCAGAAAATTGCTCAGGGGCAGTGCCCAGGCCCTGATTCAAGCCCCCCACCCAGACCCCTGTCCCACACTGAGTTCAAGCCCCCCACTCCGTCCCGTACTAACCACACCTGAGGCTCAGGTCTGCCAGAGTGGCCATGTGACCAGCACTCATGTACCCTGAGGCATGAGGCTGTGGCACTGGGAAAAATGTGCCCCCCGGAGCTCTCAGCCTGGTGTCCTGTGCTCGCTGCTGGACCCCTCCATCCTGCTGCCTCCCAGCAACCCCAGACCCGGCACAGGACAGACAGCAGTCACGATGCTCCACCAATGCCTGCCAGTCCCCACCATTAAATCCTAAATGACAGAACCCCCACCCCGGCTTCTCATGCTCCAGTAGCCCCCCAGCTTTCACGGGCTACCCCAGGGCCTTGGCATGTGCACCTCCTGGTTCCTGGAGTGCCCTTTTGTGGATCTCTTCAACTCCAACAGGGATCAGAATACATGGCACTTCTCAGGGGAAACTTCTAGAAGCATTCTCCTGCCCCTCCCTCCTCCAGCACCTTGCTCTTCTCCTCCCTGGAGTTACCTCAGGACGGAGCCTGGGCACAAAGCTTTGTATCCGTTAGATTTCCAAAGCAGATGCAAATGGCACCTCCCCCGTTTCTGTGGTCCTGTCCTCATGGCACTCTTCTGTCCCCAGGACAACTTGTCCTTGGAGACCTGCTGGAGCCACACTGGCCCCTAGGAAGCCCCATGGCCCTGAGTTCAAAACCAAACACCTGGCACAGGCTCCTGAGCCAGGCTGTGACCCCAGGGAACAGGCTTGTTCAAATCCGCGTGCCCAGCTCGCCACCTGGTGGCCATCCCCAGAACTTCCCAGACCCAGCCTGCAGCCAGGGAGGGGCAGGGCCGGTGGGAGGATGGACAGACAGCCCTACACTTCAGAGAGACCCCTCCAAGGCGGCAGGGGCAGAGCCTCCGGGTGACGGGCCTGAGCTCAGGCCCCAGCCCGGCGCCCAGCAGCAGGGCCCCGGGATCCGCGGGCCAGCCCCGTGTGCCCCCAACCCCCGGCTCCAGTTCAAAGGGGAAGGGCTGAGGGGCGCCACTGCTGGCTGGTGGCCTGACCTGGCGGCCCCTGGGGACAGAGGGTGATCGTGCTGACCGCGGCGGGCGGCTTGGCCATGGGGGACCCCAGGAGCCCCCAAAGTGCCCTCCCACCCCAGGCCTGCGCCAGGGGCAAGGACACCTGAGACCCAGCACTCACTTTAGCCGAGGCCAGGGAGCTGCGCCAGGCACAAGCCGGCCGGGACCCCCAGCCCGCAGCGCTGCCGGGTTCACCTTTCAGAAAGGTTTATTGTTTCAATGAGGAATTCCTTGTAAAAGTTGACACAATTTCTCTTCCAGTAGAAAAGGGGCAGCGGCCGGTCCCTGGCCTGGGCGCACCCGGGCCCTGCCCGGGCATCCTGGCCTCTGCTTGGCACCTGAGAGCTGAGGATGTGAGGGGATGGGCGGGGCCTGCACTGGGAGGAGGCGGGGGGGGGGGGGGCAGGTGACACCCTGGGCCTGTGGTCGCAGGGACTGGGGCTCTGTGCACAGGAGACCCTGAGGCAGCCCTTGCGGGTGGCCAGCATCCGCCGCCTGGCCCCGCCTGGCCTCTCTGCGTGGATGAGTGACCAGCAGCGCCACAACACCTGGCCAGGGAAGCACGGGTGGCAGTGCGGTAGCCAGGGCCTGGCCGGCCCAGCCACGCAGAGAGGAGGGCGGCCCCTCCCTAGGCTCCACAGTGGTGGCTCTGTCCCCAAGCACCAGCTCATGTCCGGACACGCGTGGCACACCAGCAGGTAGGTGGCACTGGGGTCAGGCTGTGGGGCTGGTGGGCCGTCTGCAGACAGAGTCTTCAAGAAGCGGGGTGCAGGGGCTGGGGGACCGGTCTGGCTGAGTGGCTAGGCTTGGGAGGCTCCCGGAGTCCTTGGCACCCTGCAGAGAAAGGGGGGCCGGTCACTAGCCTGTCCCCCAGCCCCTAAACACCAGCTCCTCAGAGAGGGCATGGGGCAATGAGGCCACCCCTCCCTCCAAACAGGGAAACCGAGGCCCGGAGAGAGGGCAGAGGAAGGTGTGGGCGGTGCCACACTGTCACTCCCAGAAATGACCCAAGTATCCGTGCCAGGAGAATGCATGTCCCATCAGGGCCACGTGACCCTGGCCAGCGCCTAGGCTGAGGCTCACAGAACAGCGCTGGGGCACCTACTGCGCCCCCACAACTGCGGGAGGGGGTGGGAAGAACACCCCCACCCTGCAGCAGCCCGGGGAGCAGGGGCCGGGGGCCTGGGGAGATGACCCAGACAGAAGAGGGAGGTGCGGCAGAGTGAGCAGAGACTACATCCTATCTGGTTTTGCATTTCAAACCTCCAGTGTGGAGAAGCATGACAGTTAAGAACAAGAGGTGGCCGAGCGCACATCTGTAGTACTGGCTGAGGAGACAGAGGCAGGAAAGTTCGACACCACCCTCGGCCTACCCCAAGACGCTGCCATGACAATAAGAAGATGTACAGCTGGGAGCTGGTGGTCACCTCGACAGGAGCTGCCAGGAGGGAGAGGTCAGGAAGGCAGTTCAAAAGTTGCTGACCATCCCCCCTGCCCCCAACCTCACCAGACGAGGCTGAGCAAAGGGCTGACCCGCAACGCGACTCACAATGACCCAAGCCAAAAGAGCAGGAGTTGCGGCTCAAGTGGTAGAGCACAAGCCTAGCATGGAGCCCTAAATTCAAACCCCTCAGTACTGGGAAAGCAGAAACCCAAACCCAAACCTACCCATCAGGCTCATGGGAAGCGGCTCCTCCACACTTTGGAGGCCCCGGCCTCCTGAGACACAGGTCATGCGCTCGGGAGCCAGGACAGCAGAGACAGACAGAGGAGAACACAGAATGTGGGAAAGATGGAGCTGGTAAGAGCATCTCCCCAAGGGCCACCTGTCCAGCTGCGCCCACAGCCTGCTGCCCGCCCGCGGCCTCCGCCCGCCGCACCTCTGCCCAGCGTCCCCGCCCCTGGAGCTGCCTCTGCCACAAGCCCCTGAGGGCCGCCCCACACCCAGGGGCCCACAATGGGTGGGGGCCTCCCCTCCACACCCAGACTGCACCAAGCTGTGCGGGGCTCAAGGCGAGCCTGGGGCAGTGGGTCCCAAGGTCGCAGCTTCTCTAATAATGAGAAAACGGAGCGTGTTGGCAAAATAATCAGCAACCTCCTTGGCCTGAGCCTCACCGTCCTGGGGCTCAGGAGTGGGGTGCCCATCAAGAAGAGGCCCAGAAAGGCCCGAGGCAGCGCGCCTTGCCCGCGCTGGGGGCTGTCCTCGGGCCCTGGGACACCCTGCCCAGCCCTGCCCCGCCCTGCCACCCCCCTGGCCGAGGAACAGGGCTGGCACCTCTCAGCCAGGCAGGCTGGTGCTCCCCACAGAACCTCCCCCTGCCAGCCCCAATTGACAGGCCTGGCACCAGCCCCGCAGGGCACAGCCCGCAGGGAGCCGCGGGGACACACTGCTCGGAACAGGCTTCCAGTGCAGCCGGCTGGGTGTGACACTTAAAATGACTTGGTGAGCTCACACCTGCCATCCTAGAGACTCAGGAGACTGAGATCTGAGGATCACGGTTCAAAGCCAGCCTGGGCAGGGAAGTCTGTGAGACTCTCATCTCCAATAAACTACTCAAAAAAAAGCTGCAAGTGGTTCTGTGGCTCCAGTGGTAGAATGCTGTCCTTGAGCACAAAGAGGCTCAGGGGCAGAGCCCAGGCCCAGAGTTCAAGCCTAGAACTGGCAAAAAACAAAAACCCCTCAGTGTACCAGGTAGAATTTCCCATGGGAGTGCAACTGGACAACCAGGGTGCAGCTGGCGCTCGGCTCCGCCTGCGCCCCCGACTCAGGCCCATGCTTCTCGGAGGGTCCGTGAAGATGCAGACCCCTCAGGACCGGGCTCCGGGGTGAGTGGACCCCCACTTCCAGCAGCCTCCCCAGTGAGGGCCAGTTGCCAGCGCACAGGACCATGGGCCCGACCCTGACCGGCAAGGTTCCACCTTGCAAATGAGACAGGAGCCCAGAGGTGCCACGGCACAGCCCCCTCCCAGCACTGCCCAGGTCCCAACCGTGGCCCACCCCCACGAAGGCCACGGGCGGCATTTACCCCCTGCAGACAGGCAGCGGGACTGGGTTACCTGGTACCCACCTACAGTCGGGCCTCCTGCAGCACTGTGCCCTTGGCCGCTGGCTTCATCAGCGACTCAGAGTAGGCCTGAATGGCCTCCTTATCCTCGGAGTCCTTCTTACCTCCACTCCAAAATAAATAGCATCTCTCCTAGAAGACAACCAAGCTTGTGTAAAGGCCACCTGCCCGGAATCAGAGATGTGTGCCTGCACAGCACCCAGGGCAGCTCAGAGATGCCAGGCCTGGCGTGCCAACCCAGTGTCACCAGGAAAAAGAGAAAGAAAAAACATCCATTCCCAGGAGTGATGGTGTATGCCTGGAAGCCCAGCTACTTGGGAAGCCAAGGCAGGAGAATTGGGGGTTCAAGGCCAGCCAGGACTGAGATTCAAAAGCAAAATACAGACTAGAGGCATGGTTCAAGTGCTAGAGTACTTCCTTAGCAAACAAAGGCACCAGGTGTTAAAATACACACACACACACACACACTCACACACACCCTCTCTTTCTCTCTCTCTCCCTCTCTTTCTCTTTCAAAACACAGGCCTAGGGGACGTGACTCAGATAGAAGAACACAAGGCCTTGAACACAAAAACAAAAATGGAATGGCTTGGAAAGAAAAGTCCCTCTGGAAAGCACCCTCGCCAGCGCATGGTTTTTAAAAAGAAATCAAGACAAGCCACCAAAGCAGCCAGGCCTGCCAGGCCAGGGAAAGACATGAAATGTGGTGTTACAGCTGGCTGCCGGTGGCTCACGTCGATAATCCCGAGATGAGAGGATCATGGTTCAAAGCCGGCCCAGATGGAAAAGACCGTAAGACTATCTCCAATTAACCACCAAAAGGCTGGAAGCGAAGGTGCGGCTCAAGTGGCAGAGTGCCAGCCTGGGATGAAATGCCAAGCAAGAGTGTGAGGCACTGAGTTCAAGCCCCAGTACACACGCACACGCACACGCACACGCAGCAGCCAAGGCGCCCTGCAAAGTCGGGGGCATGGGGCCACAGAAAGGACGGACTCCTGTGGCCCGGGGTGAGGCTGCCGGAGTGAGGCACTGTCCGCGGTCCTCTCCCGCCCATGGGCAGCTGAAGAAGAGCAGGAGGGACCTGAGGACCCCGGTGCCCAGCCCTCTGCTCTGCCCAGCGCCGAGCAGCCCCATCTGTGTTGTTGCCCTGGGGGCCGCAGACCGGAGCCTGGGGCCTGGTCTCCTCTGCCCTCCTAGCCTGGCAGCCCCGGGCTGCCATTGAGCTGTGACGGGAAGGGAGCGTCCAGCAGTGCTGCCTGGACCACAGCCTCGGGGGAATTGGGTGACACAGTGGGCCTGGAGGTTTCTTCTGGAGGCTGGGGCTCTGGAAGGAAGTTGGGGGCCAGGAGCAGGGGTGGGGAGGCTTAGAATGGAAGTCAAGGCCCAGGCCCAGATGAAGAGTCCAGAGAAAGTTTTGATCCCCATAGCAAGCAAGGAAGCACCCACACCTTCTCAAGAGAGGAAAGAGAACCCAGAAGAAAGATCTGGAAAGCAGCGCTGGGGGTGTAGGGATCAGAAGTGAGCGCAGCCCCCACCCCGCCCACTGGGCTGCCCAGCTACAGTAGGTGGGCCCCAGTGGGCGGCTTTCTGGGGCAGGGAGGCCAAGTGGGCTATCATAGCCTCCAGGCCTAGGGCCGTGGCTCCACCCCTCACACCTGCCCTCCCTGCCCTGACTGGGACCCCAGCCTGGTCTCTGGACCTCATGCTCTGATTCTTTCTGGATGCTCCACACAGGTGCACAATGCCTCCCCCAAAATAAGTTACGGGACATACACTGGAAGGCAAAGGACAGGAGTGGGGTGGTGGGTAGCTGGCCCACCTTGTATAGACCAACACTGGGTGCACCTGGGTTCTACACCCCTGCTTCGCCCTCCCAGTCCAGCCCCTCCCTGCCTATATCTGACCTCCTTGCTTTAAAGACTTCTGGAAGATTCCCATTGCTCCAGAAATCAGTCCCAAGCTGCTCACCCTGCACCGAAGGGCCCCTCAGACACAAGCCCCACTTCCCCCACAACCCCCAGAGTCCCTCTCCACCACCTTTCTGTGATCACTGCCTCCCAATGCCTTGCTGGTGGGATCCAAGTCTGGATTCCACCTCTTCCTGACCAGATGGGTGCCCGGGCCCCCAGACAGGTGCTGTCCAATCTGAGAGCCACTGAGAAACAGATAAGCCACATGGATTGTAATATACACACTGAGCTAGTGAGCTGGGCACTGGTACTGGTGGCTCATGTCTATAATCCTAGCTACTCAGGAGGCTGAGACCTGAAGATCACAATTCAAAGCCAGCCCCAGCAGGAAAGTCCATGAAACTCCAATTAACAATTATCTCCAATTACCAACCAGAAAACCGGAAGTGGTTCTGTGGCTCAATTTGGTAGAGCGCTAGCCTTGAGCAAAAGAGTGCAGGCCCAACCAAGCGCTGGTGGCTCATGCCTGTAATCCTAGCTACTCAAGAGGCTGAAATATGAGGATCAAGGTTCAAAGCCAGCCCGGGCAGGAGAGACCCTGAGACTCCTACCTCCAATAAAACCACCAGAAAGCAGGAAGTGGTGCTGTAGCTCAAGTGTTAGAGCGCTTGCTTTGAGCTGAAGAGCTGAGGGACACCGCCCAGGCCCAGAGTTCAAGCCCCAAGACTGAAAAAAAAAAAAAAAGAGTGCAGGCCCTGACTGTGGACTTTGCTGGTACAAAGGATGGTGACCATCTGTTTCACAGTTTGCTTTTCCTGATAAACCTGTGAACACCTATCAACCTAGACAGAAAACTGCCTGCCACCAGTGCTGTGGTTAAAGGGAATGGTGGGGCCTTATCCAAAAGATGACAATAAAATCTTTTAACAACAACAACAACAAAAAAGCGCAGAGACAGCGCCCAGGCCCTGAGTTCAAGCCCTACGACCGACCAAGACAAAAAAACAAAACCAACCAAAATCTCCACTGAGTCAGAGACCTAATCTGGTGGAAGACAGCACAAACACACCGTTTGCGTCGGTCCCGTGGCCGTGATGACCCCGGGCTCTCTCCGGCTCCCGCCGGTTACAACTGGATTACCTTCGTTCATCTCTGCCTTGAACGTGGCAGAGGAACTGCACGCTCAAACCACACTCAGGCTCACCTTTCACCCCACCTGGGCGGTGACATGACACCCAGCTCACAACGGAGCCCAGGCTGGCCTGGAGCTCTCTACCCTGCCTTCCTCCCCGGCTCCTTCACCAGCCCGGCCCGGCAGCCCCCGCAGAGCAGACGGAGAGAGCGGAGAGCGGAGGGCGCAGAGCAGAGGGGCGGGGACGCGCAGGGAAGGCGAGCTCCGGCCCCGCCCCGCCAGGAGCCCCGCCCCCGGAGGCCCCGCCCCCGCCGGGGCCCCGCCCCGCCTACCTGGCTGCGGACTTGGTACACGACCGGCACGAGCAGCAGAGCGCCGCCCAGGGCGAGCAGCACATACTGCGCGTAGTGCAGCACCAGGGGCAGCAGCACCAGCTGCGTGTAGAACGTGCGCAGCGGCGCGCCCTCCATGGCCCCGCTCTGCAAGGCGGGACGACGATAATCAGCGGACGACGAAGTCGGCGGGACGCAGGCGCCCGCGTCTCCCTGCCCCTTCCCCTCCCAGGATTCCCTCGCTTCAGTGCACCGGAGGACTACATTTCCCAAAGTGCCTTGCAGCTGGGACCATGCAGTTACGCTGTGACCAATGGGAAATGGGTTTGGCCCCTCCCACGCGCTCGTGACTGTTCGAACGGACGGAATCCGCGGACGCCAGGGGCGCGGAAGGGACGGAAAGCGCCTGGAGCCAGAAAGGCTGCGTGGGGCCGAACAGGCCCTCCCGTTAACCGGCGAAAAGCCAGGCTGGAGGAGTGCCTTAAGCTAAGAAGCGCTCAGCAAGAGAGGCTGCAGGCGCGAGGTCCTGAGCTCAAGGCCCGGCATTTAAAAATAAAACACAAACGGGGTGGGGACTCATCGCTTGGTGCAGCCGTCCCGCCCCCTCCCGGGCTGACCACGGAGCTGGCGGCGGCCCCAGCCCCGCGTCCCTGCGAGCGCGCCCCGCCTCACCTGGCCAAACCACAGCAGCGGCAGGACCACCGGCTCGATCTTCCCGGTTTGCCTGGAAGTGGGAGTAGAGCGGGTGAGCTTGGCAGTGCGGGGTAGGGGACGCGGGCCGTGGCGTGGGGGGGGGGAGACACGCGTGTGACTAGACAGGGCGGGGCGTGTCTAGGGGGCGGTACTCAGGGGCGGGGCGTGTCTGGGGCGGTGCCCAGGGGCGGGGCTGTCTGGAGCGGTACCCAGGGGCGGGGCGTGTCTGGGGCGGTACCCAGGGGCAGGGCGTGCCTGGGGCGGTACCCAGGGGCGGGGCGTGTCTGGGGCGGTACTTAGGGGCGGGGCTGGGGCGGCACTCAGGGGCGGGGCTGGGGCAGTACTTAGGGGCGTGGCATCTGGGGCGGCACTCATGGGCGGGGCTGGGACGGTACTTAGGGGCGTGGTGTCTGGGGCGGTACTCAGGGGCGTGGCTCTAGGGCGGCACACAGGGCGGGGCGTGCCTGGGGCGGTACTTAGGGGCGTGGCTCTGGGGCCGGTACTCAGGGGCGGGGCTGGGGCGGCACTCAGGGGCGGGGCTGGGGCAGTACTTAGGGGCGTGGTGTCTGGGGCGGTACTCAGGGGCGGGGCTGGGGCGGTACTTAGGGGCGTGGTATCCGGGGCGGCACTCAGGGGCGGGGCTGGAGCAGCACTCAGGGGGCGGGGCAGTAGCAGGGGGCAGGGCTTGGCACCCGGGCCAGGTGCCTGTCCTGCCGGGCTAACTGGTGGTGTCCCTGCCTCCGCTGTGCAGGTTTTCAGGTGTAGGGGACAGGACAGAGACCCTCAGGGGTCTCGCCTGGCAGAGAGCCACCAGCCTCACAATTTGAGTAGTCTTTGTGGGCCCAGAGGGGCTGGGAAGGTGGCTCAATGGTAAAGTGCTTGCCTCCCGTGCATGAGGCCCTGGGTTCAATTCCTCAGCACTGCATACACAGAAAAGGCTGGAAGTGGTGCTGTGGCTCAAGTGGTAGAGTGCTAGCCTTGAGCGAAGACGCTCAGGGACAGTGCCCAGGCCCTGAGTTCAAGCCCCAGGACTGGCAAGAAATAAATAAAAATTCACATCTTAGCCAGGCACTTGTGGCTCACACCTGTAATCCTAACTAGGATATGAGTTCAAAGCCAGCCTGGACAGGAAAGTCCTTGAAACTCCTATGTCCAATCAACCTTGAGCACAGCAGCTCAGGGACAGTGCCCAGGCCCTGAGTTCAAGTCCCACCACTGACAATAAAAAATTCACATCTCCATGGTAGGGCTCCCAGGACTTGGCTGATATCCTAGTGTCCCCTTACAAACTAGAACCCTACTTTTGTTCAAGATGGAAATTTAACCTGGGTTTGGGGAGCTGTGTGTGTAAATTCTGATGTGTGTATGTTCTGATGTATCTGATTCATGACACAGTAACAGAAACTTTTTTTGGGAGGGAGAGTGGGGATCATTCATGGGGCTTCAACTCTGGGCTTAGGTGCTGTCCCTGAGCTCTTCAGCCCAAGACAAGTGCTCTACCACTTGAGCCATAGTACCACTTCCCGTTTTCTGGTGGTTAATTGGAGATAAGAGTCTCACGGACTTTCCTGCCCGAGCTGGCTTTGAACCTTTTTCCTCAGATTTCAGCCTCCTGAGTAGCTAGGATTACAGGTATGAGCCACTGGTACCTGGCTAACAGAAACTTTTTGTAGGAGAGCTGTTTCCCTTTCAGATGCCTGAATGCAGATGCAATAGTTGGAGCTCCAGCAGCCATTTGAACTGGAGATAAACTTGAGGATAGAGACCTCAAAGTGCTAGAAAAATGGAACCCAGAAGCTGGGCTATGGCCCATTGGTAAAGCAGTTGCTTACACTGTGCAAGGTACTGTGTTCAATCCTTGGCATCACAAACAGACAAAAGTAGGAACAGAAAGATGGGATGGTGTTCAACTTGGACCATGAATGCCTTTGGGGAGCCTCTATCACCTGGAACTGTCTGCTCCCTAACATCTATGGGAATTCTGTAGCAGACCATTAGGCAACAGTGAAAAAAATAAGGTCAAAGAACCGGACTGCACGTGGTGTCAGGTAAACTCAGCTGTGGAAGGATAAACAAGCAGGAGGAAGTGGCACTGTGGCTCAAGTGGTAGAGCGCTTGCCTTGAGCTGAAGAGCTGAGGGACAGCGCCCAGGCCCAGAGTTCAAGCCTCAAGATGGACAAAAAAAAAAAAAAAAACAGGAGTGCAGCGTGGTGTTGCATGCCTGTAATCCCAGCTCACTCAGGAGAAGGAGCTGAAATAACTGAGGTTCAAGGCTGGCATTTATTGAGATCTTATCTCAAAACAAGCCAGGCGGTGCATGTCAGTAATCTCCGCTACTCAGGAGGCATAGATAGGATGGATCACATTCCCACCCAGCCCTGGATAAAAGTTCAAGACTCTGAAACACAGACTGAAAATTAAAAAAAAAAAAAAAAGCCTGAGATCATGGCTCAAGTGGTAGAGCACCAGCCACAAGCAAGAAAGCAGAGCAAGATGGGCTGGGAAGGTGGCTCAGTGGTAGAACGCTTGCCTTGAGCTGAAGGACAGCACCCAGGCCCAGAGTTCAGACCCCACGACTGGCAAAAGAAAAAGAAAAAGAAAGAAAGCAGAGCAAGAGGTCCAGCCCCCAGAATCAGCTGATAACCTGGCATGCAGAGCTGAACCTCTTTGTACCACCACTTAGTAATAAAAAGGGAAAGGAGTCGGGGAGGGATGTCAGAACTCCAGCTGGGCAATTTCCAGAGTTAAGATGTCTGGGGAGCAGGGGGGAAAGCCAGGGAGGGACCCCTAGAGCCAGCCCACGGCCCTCCCCACACCCCAGTGTGCTCACCCGATGCCTCGGACAGCTTTGATGTAGAGACTGAGCTGCAGCTTCACGGAGCAGTTCATGGGGATGCCGGTGACCTGCGGCGACAAGCCAGTGAGCAGCCGCACAGGCGCACGGGGCCTGGCCGGAAGGGCAGCCCGGGCTGCCTGCCCCAGGGATATCGGGGAGCGCCTGCCCCCCCCCTCACCCAGTCCCCCTGGAGAATGACCCCACGGTGGCAGCCCAGGAGGGGCTCCTTCCTTGAGGAGGGCCCCAAGACCTCAAGCTGTTGACAGGAGGCGGTCAGTCCCTGCACATCCTCGGGCCGGGGTGTCAGCCTGGAGCTAGCACTGCTTGCCGTAGCGGGGCCACGCATGCTCCCGTGAGCGCCAGCAGGCGACGCCAGTCCTCATCAACAGCAGACACCTTCCCTGACTGCAGCCTGCCCTGGAGCCCAGGCTGTCCTCAGCCTCCCCAGGCTGGGATTACAGGCATGCAGGACCACACCTGGCTAAGAATGCACTGTATGTGGGTCCTCGGCACAAATACACAGGGTTGAGCTACACCTAACTCCAGTGTTTCATATACACTGATGCGATTTTTATTTCTTAATTTATAACTGACTTTGAAAATAGGTACTGTAATCCTAGTTGCTCAGGAGGGTCTGAGGATTGCAGTGTGAAGCCAGCCTGGGCAGGCAAGTCTGGGAGCCTTAGTTCCAATTAAGCACCAAAAAAGTTACAAGTGGCACTGTGGGTGCTAGCCTTGAGCAAAAGAGCTCAAAGAGAGCGCCCATGCCCCGAGCTCAGTCCCCGCGACTGACACACACATACACAAAATAATTCTTTTTAGGAATGGTTAAGTGCCTGGGGTACAGCATCCCCCCAGTGTCTAGACTCCAGTCTCATCCCCGGCTTTGCCCCCCCAAACCACCTCGCTGGCCAGGAGCCACCAGTGGGAGCCCACGGCAGGACTCTGGGCTGTGTGGAAGCCAGTGGGTCCCGCGGGCGCCCGGCGGGCATCTCACATGGCCAGGTCTGGGCGTGGACAGAACTCCCGAGGTAGAGGACACTTGCCTGCAGCTATCTGGAGCTTTACTGCGCCTCACCAAGTGGCTGATAATCCCTAATTAATTTACTGTCCTGAGGGCCTTTAGAGAGCTGATAACAAGATAATGGCAGCCTTGAACTAGAGTCAGGGTACATCGGGGCCTTGGACGGCTGATGTTCACAGGGTCCGTGCCAAGGGCAGGCTCCTCACCCCAGGCCGAGATAGCTCTTCTCTGGGGGGGCAGGGCCAGGCTCACCGGGTGGATGTCCAGGAACAGGGCGTGCTCCTCGGGGTTGGGGTGCAGGCCGAGCACCGCTTGTGTCAGCACAGGGTCAGCATTGTAGAAGTGGGGGTGGGAGAGGAAGAGGGGCGCATCTGGGAGCAGAGCAGACGAGACAGGTGAGGGCGCCGGCCGGCGCATGCGCGCGCACGTGGAAGGCACTGGCGCTCAGGGATCACCCCCGCCGAGAAATCCCAGAGACGGGAGGCTCCCGTCCTCCCACCCCCACCCCGGGACCCCCGAGCCAGCCAGAGACTCGGGATGGGGCCAGCGGGAGCCAGGAGAGGTGGTACAGCTGGCCACCCAAGCAAGCAGCAGGCTGGTGGTCGCAGCTCAGCAGCAGGCTGGCGGGGGCGGCTGGTAGAGATGGGGCCTCCACTAGGAAGAAGGGCTCTGGAAGTTGGGAGGACAGGACAACCACTCCAAATGACCCCGGGCTGCCCACTCTGCCGGGTGAGGTTCACACCGCGCGAATTCCACCACCCCGCAGCTCCCCAGGCCTGGCTTTCCTGACCGTGGAAAGCCTCACCGAGGCCCCACCCCTCCCCCACCCCAGGTATCTAGACCCTTCCGTGGCCAGAAAGACAGGATTAGCCTTGCAAAGTTTGCAAGACCCCCTCTCAACTAACAGCTGAGTGCAGTGGGGCCTGCCCACCATCCCCGTGGCATGAGGAGGCACAAGTAGAAGACCACAGACCAGGCACACAGCGAGGCCCGAACTTGAAAATAACCGATGCGGAGAGGGGAGGGGGCATGGCTCAGAAAGAAGAAAACCACAAGGAAAGGCCTTCAACCCCCCACAGCATTCTGGTAGCAAGGCCTGCTGGGACAAACTCCCTCCCGAGGTAGCAGCCCTGGCTGAGCCGAGTCGGCTCTGGCACAAGGACCCATTCCTGTAGTGCCCTCGGGAAGTGACGCGCCTTGGCCCCTGGCCAGGTCCCACATGCAGGTCCCCCCCTTCCCCCCCACACACAGGAGGCTTTTCAGTGACTGCCTGCACTTCCACCATGTTATCTCCCCACATCCAGACGGAGCCCGGCCCAGGCAATCCGCATAATTAATTTATAGCTTTATGGCAAGTCTAACCCAACATAATTGCCCCAGGATTTTCAGGGATTACAACTGAGGAGCCGAGGGGGGAAGGTCAGAGATGTTAGGAAAGGGAGTCCTGAGTCCAAGAAATTATCAAAGCCCCAAAAGGGAACTGTGCAGGTATTCATAATCTCCAGAGAAAATGCCACTGAAAGGCAGATTTAGGAAGGGCAAGCATCAAGATCAAGAGCGGTCTAGTCTCCCCACGGTACTACTCGAAAGACACAAAGGCCAGCCAGATGCTGATGGCTCCGCCTGTAACCCATGTCAGGAGGCTGAGGATGGAAGGACTGAGATTTGAGGCCAGCTTGGGCAAGAAAATCTGTGAGACTTCCAAAGGGTGGCACGGGCAAAGGAGCGGCCGTGTGGGGCCCAGGGAAGAGGCTCTGGGGGCCAGCTGGGCTCCCGAGCCCTGTCACTAAGGAGTCAGCTTTCCTACGTCAGGGACCCACACACACGCTGACAGTGGGTGGCAGCCTGTGCCGCCTGGCCCGGCCACCGGCCTGCAGAGTTGCTCCCAGGGGCCAGATGTTCTCTGGGAGCATGGCCGCTGTGTGGCCGCCTGGCACAGGCTTGTTGGTTTGTCGGTTTTTGTTGTTTGGTTTGTGGGGGTTTTGGTGCCGGTATTGGGGTTTGAACTCAGGGCCTAGGTGCTATCCCTGGGCTTTTTTTGCTTAAGGCTAGCACTTGAGCCACAGCTCCGCTCCAGCTTTTTGGTAGTATACTGGAGACAAGAGTCTCACAGACTTTGCTGCCCCGGCTGGCTTCAAACCACCATGTTTACATCTCAGCCTCCTGAGTAACTGGGATTACAGGTTTGAGCCACCGGCACCAGGTAGAAATGCTTTTTTTTTTTTTTTTTTTTGCCAGTTGTGGGGCTTGAACTCAGGGCCTGGGCCCTGTCCCTGAGCTTCTTTTGCTCAAGGCTAGCGCTCTACCACTTGAGCCACAGACCACTTCTGGCTTTCTGTGTCTGTGGTGCTGAGGAATGGAACCCAGGGCTTCAGGCGTGCTAGGCGAGCGCTCTACCCGAGCCACCTTCCCGGCCTTTTTCCACCTGGACTTGGTGAGTCTGTTGCAATGGAAGCAGGCATGCAAGCGCAGCCACAGTGGCCACTGACGGGCTGTGGACTAGGTCAGGGCTGGGGGGCGGAGGGGGGACAGATGGGGCTGCCGGGCCTGCGTGCAGGGCGGGGGGTAGGGAGGGGCCGGGCCCAGCCGTGCTTGGCTTGAGCATTGGAGGCGGGTGCCAAGGGGGCCGGCACAGCTGCAGGCGCCAAAGGACATCGTGGTCCCAGATCACACCTGGCGCTGCCAACAGGAGGCTCTGACAAAACAAGCAGCGGGCGCTTGGCCAGCCCGTCACGTGTGGGAGCAGCCCAGCGGCCGGGCGGTCCCAACCCACGCCCAGTCCTGGCATCTGGTGGCTCTGGAGCCCAGGGCCACAGGGAATCGAGGTCACAGGTCAGCTGCTTTAGGACAGGAAGGGAGTGCTGTCCGTCCTAAATACCGTAAGGGTCAGAAGAGGCAAGAGGACAGAGGTGAGCCCAGGGATCCAAGGCTGTCCACCCCAGAAATGGGAAGGGGTGCAGCAGGAGGAAGCGGCAGAGGAGCGAACCCCACACACACACAGCGGCCCACAGCACAGCCGTGACCTTAGCCCGGGGAAACCGAGGCAGGCTCAGAACTACAGAACGAGAGATACACACAGCCTGTTTTCTTCCTCCAGTTATCTCCCTGCCGCTCCTTATCTGCAGCCTAGCGGAATTATCAAGGGTGCAGAGACCACGGCTTGGGTGGACACTGGCCGATGAGTCCCTGCTGGCTCAGGCCCTGCCGGGGGGGGGGGGGGGGGGGGGGAGGGGGGGGGGAGCAGGCAATGGGACACGCACGGAACCTGCAGGTGCTCATGTTCTGGATGCCGGACTCCAGGCACGGGCAGAAGCCTTCGTTGGGTGGGTAGACAGAGCCGTTGGCAAATAAGGTTTTAGGGGCCACAAAGCGGTAGATGGGGATGCCTTCATACACCCCAGGCTCTTTGTAGATGAGCTTCATGGACCTGCGGGGGGGGGGGGGCACAGACAGGTGAGAAGGGACCCAGGAATGCGGGCCGAGCCCCGCTCGCCAAGGTGGCCACTGCACGGCCCTCTCTTGTGGCCAGAGCACGTCACCTCTTCCTGCGGTCGGCAATGGCCTTCCCCCCACACCATCCACTGTCTGCACCCAGAGAGCCTTCCACCAAAAGCCTCCTTCCAAGGACCCCATCTCAGGTTGGGAGCCTGGTGCTGATGGCTCACACCCAGGTCCTCTCACACTCAGCTGAGAGCTGAGGGCTACGGTTCGAAGCTAGCATGGGCAGAAAAGGCTGTGGAACTCTTATCCCCATTAATCAGCAAAAAGCCAGAAGTGGAGCTGTGGCTCAAGTGGTAGAGTGCTAGCCTTGAGCACAAAAGCTCAGAGACAGTGCCCAGGCCTAGGACCAGCATGTATGTGCATGTAAGCACACTTGCACGCAGGCACGCACGCACACACGCACACACGCACATACACACACACACAAGACAATTCAAGATGGTGCAGAGCCACTGGGTGCTCTCTGCGCACACAAGGCCCCATGGTTGCACTGGGCCCCTGACCCAGGACAGCAGGAGGCCCCGGCCAGCACCTACCTGCATGCCTCAGGGCTGTAGAACTCCAGTGACGACTCAGGAGTCATAAACGGCGGCCACATCTGCCCAGAAGTCCCATTGATCATGTTGCACCCCTCCGAGTTCCAGTAGCTGACCTGTGGGGGGAGGGGGAGAGGGGGATGTTGGGGGGGAGCTGCGGCCTCCGGGCGGCTGAGGCCTCCAGCAGCATCACCGTGCCCCGCCCGCCCTGCTGCCAGCGCCACCACTCAGTTCCCACACCGGCACCCTGTGGCCAGCAAGGACAGGACACCCCGCGTCCCATGGCCTCAGCCATTTCCTCTAGAAGATGGAGACACTGCTGCCACACACCGCCAGACGTCAACAGGCAAACTACCCAAAACCACTGACCTGCAGCAGAGGCCTCACAACAAGCGGTCAGGGAGCTGCCCCTGGGGCAGAGCCAACACACGCTTGGCACCCGTCAGCCCCATTAGAACTCTAAACCATGCATCGTTTCACATGGAAAAAGCAAGTCAGAAAGTATTAATGGCATCCCTTAGGGGTAAGAATGCTCACCAGCCAGGCACACGGCCATGCCTAAAATCCCAGCATGAAGGAGGCTGAGAAAGTTCCAGACCAGCCTGAGCTACCTAGGAAAACCATCTCAAATGACTACTTTTGCTTTTTTTCTGCGCTGGTCCTGGGGCTTGAATTCAGGGCCTGAGCACGACCCTTGAGCTTTTTTGCTCAAGGCTAGTACTCTACCACTTGAGCCCTAGCTCCACTTCCAGCATTTTGCTGGCTTATTGGAGTCTCAGTCTTTCTTGCCCAGGCTGGCTTTGAACTGTGATTCTCGGATCTCAGCCTCCTGAGCAGCTACAAGTACAGATGTAAGCCACCTGTGCCCAGCATCCATCATCCATGCAGCTGAAGCTATTCCTTTTTAAATGGCTGGGATGTGGGTCGGTGGTAAGGCACTGTGTACCATGCAACAGACCTGGGTTCCATTCCTTGAATAAGAGAGGAAGAGAGACAGAGACCTGTGTTTCGTCCCTTGCATAAAAGAGATAGACAGACTGACAGAGAGGGAGACAGAGAGCACCAGTCACTAAGGTGCAAAAGAAAGCCAGCCCATGGCATGTTTCCAGTGAATTCCAGGCACACGGGAGCAGGGTTCAAAGGAGAAGTGGGCTTTCCTCGGGGGACAGGGCAGGGTGCCCAGGAGGACTGTGCATGGCTCCATTGTTTGGTTTTAATGGGAATGTCTTCCTGTGTTCTGGGCGCAATTTCAAAGCTGTTCCGCCCAAACCAGGAGTTGGAGGAGCAGAGCTGTGCCTAGACAGACGCCAGGCGCCCGTGTGTGAGCGCGCATGCGTGCGTGCCAGGTGCCCGTGTGTGAGCGCGCATGCATGCGTGCGTGCGGCCCAGCCGGGAGCGTGGAGCCCCGGGCCGGCTTCCGCGGCGGCCATCCCCTCCACCATCTCCACTCACCTTGCTGAGCCCATTCCACTTGTCCACAAGGTGGATCCTGCTGAAGTTCTGCACCCCCGTGAACACCGTGAAGACCTCAGAGTCTGAGTTGTTCATCTGAGGACAAAGGCACGGGGGAGGAGGAAGAGGAGAAGAGTTGACAATGAGCCCCACTGTGGCTCTCAAGGGCTTTCCAGAAGCTGGGGCCCCATGGACGGAGCTACCCCGTGCCGGCTACCGTGCCCTGCCGAGGCACAGGACGCTGCCTGGCTCTGAGGTGGCAGCCTGCCTGTGCCACGAGTCAGGTTCCCCATCCGCCGTCTGCCCTGCACTGACACGTGCCCTGGGAGTTTGGGGAGCCCGTGCCTCAGCTGCCAGGGCCCGGGCCGAGCACGGGCGTCCGGGCGCCAGCGCTCAGCATTGTGCGGTGGCTGCGGTGACGGCAGGGCAGGCCGCATGCGCATGCCCGCACGTGCGCGCTCTGGGCACGGGCCGCCGCCACAGGCACAGCTTGTCCCGCTTCGCCCCAGAGCCAGCGACCCAACAAAACCCAAGCCACTTCTGGCACATCAAGGTGACCCTGAAGGACCGCGGACGCTTTCCGGCCCCTGCAGCTGCGGGGAAGTGACTATTCTAGCTCACAGAAAACACGGGAAGTCATCCCCCGCCCCCGGAGGAAGCCCGGGATGCTGAGCTCCTGGCTCGCAGCGGCCCTGCCCGGTCACCAGGGGTCAGGACCCAGAAGAGGCCGGTGGCCATCTGCCCCCACAACCATGCCCGCTCACCTTCACGAACAGCCCGAACTTGCCCTTGACAGGGAGCATGTCTGGGAAGTACTTGTTGAGGAGGTTCACCAGGGGGTCCTCATAGCCCCACATCACCTCGCCCACCGTGCGGTTCATGAAGGCACGCTGCCCGAGCGTGCTGAAGGCCAGCGTCATGAGGAGCTTCAGGCTGGTGGGCCTGTGCTCCATCATCGTGGCCGCGCCCTGCAGAGCGAGACACCGCTGACCGGCTGCCGCCTCCGACCCTCTCCGCCCTCCCCTCCCTCCTCCTCACCCCCGGGCTCAGGCCCTGCACCCGCCTGTCACCCCAGCCGCAGTGACGGGTTCAGAAGTGAGCATAAACCCCTACCCGGGCAACACGCATGTCCCGCAGGGGCTCCGCCAGGCTCGGAACCTGGGGGCCAGTGAGCTTGCACCTGGGGGGGGCGGGGCGGAGGGCACACCTGTCACCTGGGGGGCGGGGCGGAGGGCACACCTGCTGGGAGGGGACCCAGCGCAGACCGGGGACTGACGCACCCCAGATGAAGCCAGTCTCAACACCAGCCCAACTTCCACCCATTAGTCATTTGAGCTGAAAAATTCCTTTTTGCTGAAGGCACCTGGGCATGTACCGAGAAACCATCTCGTGTCCTAGAAAGGAGCCAGGCAGACGCTCCACTAGCACCTGCTCATGCTTCCTCGGGGCTGTCCCGGCTCCATGGATGTGAGACACTTCGGGCAGAGAGCCTCACGGGCTTTCCTGCCACCATGCTCAGATCTCAGCCCCCCGAGCAGCCGGGTGCCCTGCGTGAGCCACCAGCGCCTCGTTGGTTTCTTTGCTCTTCCTTTCCTTCTTATTTTGTGGTACTGGAGTTTGCACGGGCTAGGCAGGTGCTCTACCACTTGGGTCACACCCCAGCCCCTGGGCTCATTTTTCAAAGGCACAGCAGGATCAAGGCCGGCCTAGAGGAGGAGGGGCCGCACTCGGAGCAGGTGCCGTCCGGTCTGGTCCCGCAGGGACCACGCAGCTCCTTTGCCTTCTAATCATCCTTGGGAAGGTGATAAACACATCATTTTTAAAAAATCAAAACAGGATACAAAACAAAATATAGGTCCCTCTCCACCCTCGGCTCTGGGCCAGGCTCCCAAAGCCCTGAAGTCGGCTTTTGTTTGGTGAGTGATCCAAGACAGCTTTTACGTTTCCCAATGGATAGGAAAAGAATCAAAATCACATCGTCCAGGAAACACGAAAATCCTGTGGAGCCCACGTCCTTTGCCCAGGGTGCTGGGGAGAGGGACAGGGCCACACCCACACGTGCTCGCTGGGGCTGCAGCCCAGACCCTTTCCAGCGCCCCCTGGGGCTCTGCGTGAACCATTCCCCGCAGCCCTAGGAAGGCTGCGCTCAACACTGGCACCGACCAGCGCCTGGACGCCTGGACGTGGGGAGAGTCTGGCCATTCCTGGCCAGGCTGACAACCTGTTGATGCCCCCGATCCGGCCCGAGGTGTCCCCATGCTGGCACCCAGTGTCCCGGCAGAGCTGGAGGGCAGGGTAGGCTCCCAAAGCTCCACCCGTGCCATTGCCCGGGGGTCTGCCCGGTCTCCTACGGGTGAAGTCAGACACAGCCTGGGTCCCACCCCGGTGGAAAGCACCCCCCAAACAGCTGTCCTGACCCCAGACCGGGGGCCTGCCTGCGGCAGCCTCCAAGCAAGGAGGGGCAGTGGGGGGAAGGGCTGCGGGCCGCGGAGACTCACCAGGACCAGGATGTTGGGCAGGACGATGTAGTCGCTCTCGTCACCCCAGGACCTGTCGGGCTGGAACTGGAAGCTGCGGTGCTCCCGGAAGGACACCGTGTCGTTGTCGTTGAAGGTGATGTTGGTCTTATGTCTGAACTCGCTGCGTGGAGACGCCAGGTCAGCGCAGGCAGCACCACCCCCCGCCTGCTCGGTGCCCACTGCCCGCACCTGTGCCCGTGTGCACGCACGCGTGTCTCCTGCGTTTGTCTCCCCCCACGTACCGCAAGGCCCCTCGCTGTTCCACCAAGAACTAGGCACCCACCAGCTGCCGGTGGCCCAAACACAAGAACTGTTTTCTTGGAGGCTAGAGGTGTGGCTCAAATGGTAGAGTGCCAGCCTCACAGGTACAGGTACAAGGTCCCGAGTTCAAGCCCCAGTACCCTCCTCCCCCCACCCCCCCAACACCATGGCTGCTGGGCCTCACCGGTACACGTAGGGCCCGCGCTCCTGCACCAGCGGCTTCTCGCCCTTCAGGATCTCGTCGGGGTTGATGACCTCGAAGAAGTAGACGGACAGGTAGAAGGGGACGGGGATCTCCTTCCACATGTTGAAGGACAGGCTCTGGGGGTCGATGCGCACGTTCTACGGGGAGACGGCTCATGGGCGGGTGGCCATGCACGTCCAGCCCGCGCCGGGGCCGGTCCTGCTCGCCCTGCCTCCCAAGCAATGAATCCTAACCACACGAACAGTGAGCAACACTTACGAGTGTTTACATGCTTCCAGTGTGTGTGTGTGTGTGTGTGTATGTGCACGCGTGTGTGCGTGTGTGCACGCACGTGTGTGGCACATGTACCTGTGTGCATGCACCAGTACTGGGGCTTGAACTCAGGGACTGGGCACTTGAGCTTGGTTTGCTGAAGACTGCTCAGGGCTGGGAATGTAGCTCAGCAGTAGAGTGCTTGTCTAGCATGAATGAAATCCTGGGTTCGATTCCTCACCACATACATAGAAAAAGCCAGAAGTAGCACTGTGGCTCAAGTGGTAAAGTGCTAGCTTTAAGCAAAAGAAGCCCAGGGACAGTGCCCAGGCCCTGAAGTCAAGCCCCAGGACTGGCAAAAGACTGCGGAGTCTGCTCAAGACTGGTGCTCCACTACTTGAGCCACAGGTCTACTTTTTGCTGGTTCATTGGAGACAAGATTTCACGGACTTTCCTGCCTAGCCTGGCTCAGATCTCAGCTTCCTGAATAGCTAGGATTACAGGTGTGAGCCACTGGCGCCCGGTAAAATCTTATTTATAAAACTTGGCGGGGGGGTGGGGGGGGACTCAGGGCCTTGTGTGTGTGAGGCTGACACTGTACCACTGGAGCCCCACCTCTAGTCTCCATGGGGCGGGCACGTGTGGATCGCTGATGGGGCAGGGCAGGAGGGCCCCACACACAGGGTGGACACGGGCGGATCGCTGACATGGTGGAGGATGCAGCAGGCGGGTAGAGATCAAACCACCAAAGACTGCCCCAGGCGACCCACTGCGCACCCACCCAACAGAAGTAACTCAGCATCCAAGAGGAACCACAGCGGGTGAGGGCAGGCCCACCTGTAAGCCCAGCACCTGGGAGTGTGGGAGGTGGAGGGGCTCCACCCCGCACACCCGGCCCTGGCCACAGGACTTCTCCCCGGTGCCCCCTGCCCCCCACCCCCCCAGTGAGTCTAGGACTCAGAGGAGGATCTGGAGGCGGCTGCAGCGCCTGGCGTGCCTGCCCGGGAGGGTGGACTTCGTCCTGCCCTCTCTTCAACCACAGCGGATCACAGCACCGGGCAGCTGATTAGATAGCACAGGGGTGAAGCTCGCAGCACCTGGCCCAGCGTGGCTGGGCTGTCTCTCTGCCCCTATCCCTCTTCCAAGGACAAAGATCAGTGCAAAGACAGTGTAGAGAGTGGCCATGGTCAGCCTCGTGGGACTTGGCCACTCCGGCCCGGCCCGGCCGGTTCCACAAGCCCAGGCCCACTCGCAGAACACGGCCAGGTGGGGACAGCTGAGCTGCGTGTCGGACACGCATCAGGCTGGGCACTGGCAGCTCACACCTGTAAGCCCGGCTACTCAAAAGGCTGAGATCTGGGCTGGGAAGGTGGCTCAGTGGTAGAGCGCTTGCCTGGCATGCCTGAGGCCCTGGGTTCGATTCCTCAGCACCACATAAGCAAGAAGAAAAAAGCCGGAGTGGTGCTGTGGCTCAAGTGGTAGAGCGCTAGCCTTGAGCTGAAGAGCTGAGGGACAGCGCCCAGGCCGAATTCGGGCCCCATGACCAAAAAAAAAAAAAAAAAAAAGGTCCACAGACCCCGGAACCCCTGGGGTAGCGGGGCTGCAAGGATTGGGGTCTGCTCCCAGCTCTGGCCCCCTGGCTTTGTGGGGTGTTTGCGGTTGTTCCTGGACTCAGCACGCTTTGTAAAACAAACTAGAGATTAGGGTGCGAGCTGAGGGCAGGCAGCACTAGTGCCTTGCGCTGGCTAGGTGGCTGTTCTGCCTCGTGACCCACACCTCCAGCCCAGCATTTTGCTAATTTAGAGATAGTGTCTTAGGGTTTTGAACTGTGATCCTCCAGCTCTCAGCCTCCTGAGAGACTAGGATTAAAGTTGGCTATAACTGATCAGCAGAGGGGTTCGAGTGGGCCAGGAGAAAACCAGGAGTGGTGGAGCCGTGTGGGGCCGGAGTGCCGCAGAGCCGCGGGTGCTCACGGGCCACACGCGCGTCAGAGCTCAGTGGCTCTGCGTCTCCAGCCTGGCTCAGGACAAAGCCACTTCTCAGCGCTGCCTGCATGGCCACGGCTGTGCCCAGCAGAGGCTTTGGAGCAAGACCTCACAGCCCCACAGAGGGGCGGCCCCAGGGAGGGGGACCACAGGGAGGCTGGCAGCCCAGGCCTTCCCACCGCCCAGACATCCCCTCCCAGACGCCTAGACAACACAGTCTTCACCCAGCCAGGCACTGGCTGCTCAGGTCTCGAATCCCAGCTACTGGAGAGGCTGAGAATTGCACAGTGCGACTCCCTTCCGAGCAAGGGCAGGGAAGGGCCGGGGCACAGCCACACCCCCCGCCCAACGCCAAGAGGCCCTGCTCTGACACGGGTGGAGACGGATCCTGCTCTGGGCCCCACACTGGCGCTCTGGCTTCCCAGGTAACCAGCTCTACCCCGGAAAAGCCTTTTACAGGAAGCCCAAGCACGTCACTGACACAGGGCCAGGTTGCCCAAGAAGCTGAGTCACCTGATTCCTTCGTCGGTGTCCCCCACTCAGCGCTCCCCGCCAGCAGCCACCGCCGCGCGGCCTCCAAGCACTGCCAGCCCTCCGCTCCCGTCCCGCGCTGTCCAGGCGCCATCCACCCAGCCCCCTTGGGAGGGTCCGTCGCTCCTCAGCTCCAGAGGCTCCCAGCGCTCTTCTCACTTCTCAGAACCCGAATCCCTACACACTCTGACTGTATCATACCAGATGTACGCTGGTGACAAGCCTCCTTTGCTGCTACCCAGAATGCAGTTGTGGTGGGCGGCGCTGGAACAGCCACCCTGGACCACGAGGCAGCCTTGAGACTGGGTCCCAAGGCTTCACGCAGCCACCCCACCAGGGTGGTTTAGTCATGAAATAATACAAAGCAAGATCACACTCCCTGTAGCAGAATGACTAAATCAGGAAAGGCTGACACGCCGAGCGCTGGTGGAGCACGGAGGCGTTCACTGAGGGTCAGCCCCACATGGGAGCGTCACCCAGACAGGCCAAGGCCTCCACTGCCAGAGCCGAGCCCGGGGCCGAGCGACAGGGTCAGAGGAGAAGCCGCACTGCCCGGGGCGGCATTTCGCCAGCGGGCACACCGCGGTCAGCCAGGGGCAAGGCCTCTCATGGGAGCCCAGAGGCCTCCTCTGAACCCGGCTGGACTTCAGCGGGAGCTGGGGTAGACACAAGGGGCCTGGGGGACTCTCCTTTGTGTCCCAGCTGGGGCCTGCGAGCTGGCCCCGGCCCCCGGCCCCCGCACGTGACACGGCTGTGCAGCCTGGCTGGCCCAGGGGTCACGCAACACCGAGCAGGGGCACCCAGTGGCCACAGCCCTTCTGCCAGACCTGGGGCTTGAACTCAGGGCCTGGGTGCTGTCCCTGGGCTTTTTCACCTACAGATGGTGCCCTACCTCTTGAGCCACAACTCCACCTGTGGCTTTTTGCTAGGTAATGGGAAACAAGCATCTCCCAGACTTCCCTGCTCAAGATGGCTTCAAATCACAGCCAGAGAGCAGGCTCCACACTGGGTAACAAGTGTCACGGCTGGCTGAGGGGCGGCGTGTGCGTGGCCATCCCGCTCAGAATCGCGGCCACCGGAGCCCCGGGAAGCCCCGACCATGCCTCCCTCCCCGGGGTAGGAGGGGCACTGTGTCTGCGCTGACTTTGGGGTGACACGTGAACCCCAGGCCTGGAGCTGGGGCCCCACCGGTGCCTGCGATGGTCCCAGCGTCCAAGGGACAGTCCTGTGCACTCCCACGGTCACGCCAGGCTGAGAGCCAGCCTGGGGAGGGTGTGAGAGGCCCCAGCTCCCAGCTGCCTCGATCCTGGCCTGGTGACTGCCCTGATTGCGGCCAGGCTGCAGTCAGCACGGCTGACCATTCAGGTGCGCGGTCCCACCACCGGGCTCTGACAGGATGTGTCACCACAACCAGCACCACAGCAGCACGGCTCTGCCGCAGGCTGACGCCGCACAGTGCTGTGCCCGGAATCCTCTGCAGACCCCCAGGGAGCTGACGTTCCTCCCTGCATGTGGGGAACAGGCTCAAGATGGCTACAGCTCTGCCTGCACCCTCATCTACCCACGCCACACCACCACAGGGAGACGACAGCCACACTGACATCTAGCTACAATGAGACGAGAGCCGCAGAGAGACGACAGCCACACAGACGTGACAGCCACACAGAGACCAAAGCCAGACAGAGACGACAGCCAGACAGAGACGACAGCCAGACAGAGACGACAGCCACACAGAGACGACGGCCACACAGAGACGACAGCCACACAGAGACCAAAGCCAGACAGAGACGACAGCCAGACAGAGACGACAGCCACACAGACGTGACAGCCAGACAGAGACGACAGCCACACAGAGACGACGGCCACACAGACGTGACAGCCAGACAGAGACGACAGCCAGACAGAGACGACAGACAGACAGAGACAACAGACATACAGAGACGACAGACAGACAGAGACGACAGCCAGACAGAGACGACAGCCACACAGAGACGACAGCCGCACAGAGACGACAGCCAGACAGAGACGACAGCCACACAGAGACGACGGCCACACAGAGACGACAGCCAGACAGAGACGACGGCCACACAGAGACGACAGCCAGACAGAGACGACAGCCAGACAGAGACGACAGCCAGACAGAGACGACGGCCAGACAGAGACGACAGCCACACAGAGACGACAGCCACACAGAGACGACGGCCAGACAGAGACGACGGCCAGACAGAGACGACAGCCAGACAGAGACGACAGCCACACAGAGACGACGGCCACACAGAGACCAAAGCCAGACAGAGACGACAGCCAGACAGAGACGACAGCCAGACAGAGACGACGGCCAGACAGAGACGACGGCCACACAGAGACCA